TTGTGGTGATCACGCGGGCCGTGCACGAGGCCAGGCTCCGGGGCGACTTCCCACTCACCGAGATCTTCCAGTGAGGTGTGGGGGAAGTGGGTTCCTTCAGCTGAGGGGGGCTGGGTCTGCTGGAAATGAGCCCGAGAGAGGAATTAAGGATGTCAGCTTGTAAGGAACTAGGCAAGACCAAAGTTCACTTCTGCTCTCTCGGGAAGCCATGCTGGGCAGCCATCCACCCTGGTTTTATCTAATGGGGATGTGCTCTTTGTTCTGATTGGTTAGAACTTAAGATTCATGGTCACGTGCCATTAGCCAGTTTGAAAGGGGTGTTAAACGTTTCTCTGAGCAGGGAAGCAAACAGGAACTTGTCAGCGAAACAGGTCATACCCAGTTGGTGCTCTCCCAGCTGAGCCATGCCTCCAGCCCCTAGAAATCAATTTCTTGTAACAGGATGTGGCTTAACTAAGTGATTTTTTTTTTTTTTTTCCAATTCTGAGGCTTAAACTAGGGGTCTAGGCACTGTACCTGAACTTTTGTTCAAGGCTACTTCTACCACTTGAGCCACAGCACCACTTCCAGCTTTTTCTGAGTAGTTTATTAGAAATAAAAATCTTTTTTTTTTTTTTTTGGTCACTTGTGAGACTTGAACTCTGGGCCTGGGCGCTGTCCCTCAGGTCTTCAGCTCAAGGCGAGCGCTCTACCACTTGAGTCCCAGCACCACTTCTGGTTTTCTGGTGGTTCATTGGAGATAAGAGTCTCATGGACTTTCCTGCCCAGGCTGGCTTTGAACCATGATCCTCAGATCTCAGCCTCCTGAGTAGCTAAGATACCAGGCGTGAGCCATCAGAGCCTGGCTTAAAACTGTAAGATGGCGGCCAGCCTTGAAAGAGCAGCGCTAATGTCAAGCAGCTACTTTGACAGAAAAAGATTCTAACTCCCGCGTGTATATGAGAATCTCCTCTGGGTTCAATCTCAAATAGTTGTCTTTGCTTTATGATTTTGAGTGAAATCCCTTCCCTTTACCCCACCCCCCACCCTTGGTTCAGTGCTTACTGAGAAGACAAAAACCACAAAAGGAACGATCTTTTCAAAGCCTTCTAAAAATTCCCCAAAAAACCCAGACATTGGTCACTGACACCTGGAATCCCAGCACCCCAGGAGGCTGAGATCTCAGGATCACTGTTCAAAGCCAGTCCAGGGCAGAAAAGGCCACGAGACTCTTCTCTCCAATGAACCATGACAAAATCCAGAAGGAGAGCTGTAGGTCAAGTGGCAGAGCGCTAGCCTTCAGCATAAAAAGCTCAGGGACAGCGCCCAGACCCTGAGTTCAAGTTCCAGCACTGACTCTCTCTCTCTCTCCCTCTGACACACACAAACACACACACACACACACACACACACAATTTTTCTAGATGCACTCTTTTAATCAGTAACTGAATTATGAGCCTTGTCTCATTCCTTAGGATGGAAATCATCTCCACATAAGATAAGAACTACTGAGCTGGGCACCGGTCAGTGGCTCACGACTATAATCCAAGCTACTCAGGAGGCTGAGATCTGAGGATCAGGGTTCAAAGGCAGCTTGGGCAGGAAAGTCTGTGAGACTCTTATCTCCAATGAACCACCAGAAAACCGGAAGTGGCTCTGTGGCTCAAGTGGTAGAGTGCTCGCCTTGAGCTGAAGAGCTGAGGGACAGCGCCCAGGCCCAGAGTTCAAGCCCCACGACCGACACTCCCTGAAATTGAAAAAAAAATAACAATAAATAAAAAAAAAACCCAAACTGACGCCCGCCTTGTGTTTTCTCTTTGCAGGTGGAAGTGAAGCCATACGTGCTGGATGACCAGCTCTGTGACGAATGCCAGGGGGCCCGTTGTGGGGGGAAGTTCGCCCCCTTTTTCTGTGCTAACGTTACCTGTCTGCAGTATTACTGTGAATATTGCTGGGCGGCCATCCATTCTCGCGCCGGCAGGGAGTTCCACAAGCCTCTGGTGAAGGAGGGAGGGGACCGGCCCCGGCACATTTCATTCCGCTGGAACTAAAGGGGTGCCTGACTGAGCCCGTCCCGCTGGCTAGTGTCCAGTTAAGTACACTCTCCCACCCCCTCCTGACCTCTTCCTCCCCCCGACCCCCCTCCTCCCAGCCTCTCCACACTGGCATGTCTTCGTAGCAGTGTGTAACCTAACGATAGTACAATGAAAAAGAATGGCCTATATAACGTAGGTGTTTCGTAGATTCCTGTACGGCTAGTCTGTAGGAGCTCTTTTTTTTTCTTTCTTTCTTTTTTTTCCTTTTTTCTTTCCATCATGGTTGGTGTCTGAAGTTCCCATTCTCTTGGTTTCCCCCAGGACCAAGCGAATCCAAACTTCCTGCAGCGTTTTCTTAGAGGAGAAAGAGAAACTTATTAACAGAGAAAAGAAACAATAGAGTATTTTTAGGTTTTTACTTAAATTATTGTGAATAATAGATCATATACGAATACTTTTATTAAAAAATAACCATGCAACAGTAACACTATTGATCTGTCCAGACACAATTTCCGAACCTCCCCCCCCCCCCCCCCCCTCGGACAGTGCTTTTTTTGCCTTTCAGTTTTTGGTTATTGTCTTTTCAGTTTTTGTGGGGGTTTTTTTTTGTTGTTAATTTTTACTTTTTAGTTTGGGTTTTGTTTTTTTTTTTATCTCTTGTTCTTTTCCTTGTCTCTCTCTCTCTCCTCATCTTTTTCCTCTTTTTTTTTTCTTCCTCCCTTTTCCTTCATCCCTCCCTCTCTCTCATGTTTCCCCCATCCTGTGTTTCTTTGTGCGAGCCATGGAGAAAGTGAGCATTGATTAGTGAGCAGAACGAACAGAATGCCAGATGCACGCCTAAGACTCCAGCAGCCTCGCCATGGGACTTGAAGGCTCTGTAGCCGAGGCCGAGGCCTCCAAGTCATTAGGACATGAAGAAAGCGAGTAAAGTAGGCAGAGCTAGGTTTATTTTCTTTTCAATACTCGTTTTTTTTTTTTTCTTTTACCCCTTCAGAATGTGCAGACTGGGCGGGGTTGCTATGAGTTAGACTGTTGCTGCCCGCAGAGACCTACCAAAGTTGGAGTTAAAGACCGCTAGGGGGAGCCCCTGAGCTCCCTCTCCTTAAAGAGCCAATGTGTAGGAATGTTTATTTTTGGATGTTGCATAGAAACTCTCATTTCCTAACGCTCATCAGTGGCAGGCAGCCTCTGCTCTCTCCATTTTTGACATTAAAAAAAAAAAAAAGAAAGCAGCAAATCTAGACATACCTCAAGGATATTTATATATTTTTTTTTTAATTTTTAAAAACAATGTTGTGTTACAATACGCTTGTAACCAAAACCAGAAGAGAGAGAAAAACAACACTAACCCCTCCCCCCCCAAAAAAAAACAACCCCCCCAACCAAACAACAACAGAAAACACCAAAAAGTGAAAACAAACACAAATCCACCATACAGATTGGCTCTGATTGGCTTTGGCTATCTAGCTGTAACATAGGAAACAATCACAAAAGTTCATTAGAAGTCAAGTAGTCACAAAGTGGTTTGGTTTGGTTTGGTTTTTCTTCTGCAATTCTTTTTGCACTGTGAACAAGTAACCGTGTAAATGTGTGCAAAGGTACATGTATTGAGCCCACTCCTGTAAAATAACAGAGCAGTACAGTTCCAGAACTCAGCATGGGCCTTTGTCAGTGCCTCAAGTGCCAACTCGATCAGTTAATGCATGCTTTCTTATAAATACTCTTCTTAGCTTTGACAGACGTTTTCACGTGTTTAATTCTCCATAGCCCCTTGAAGGCCCTCTAAGTGAGGGGGGAAAACAAAATCACTTTTCTTTGACTTGACATTCTCTTATGAGAGACCCCATCGGTCATTCCAAAAAGACCATTGTGAAGTCTCCACACCATTGCACACACAACTCCCATAGCCCAAGGCGATCTTGCTGCTGGCGGGTCACCCACAGACCTGGTACCATCATGGATTCTGCAAAACCAAAGACTTGGCCCAGCCTGGCTGTAGAACCACCTAGCTTGATGAAGTCCTAGTGATTGTCTTGTGTCTTGAGGGAGACCTGTTTGTCTGTCCTTCCCTTGGGAGGACGGGCTTTTCACTAGTTTCCTGTCGAGTCCCAAAGGTGAAAAGTCTCCCGTGAAATCCCAGCGAGCCATTGAGGATGGCCTCTCTTTCCTTTCTCCCGAACCCCCCTATGATTCTTCTCGGAATGTCCAATTCGCCTCTCTTCTTTTATCTTCCTTTCTCAGTGCTTGGGAGGTGGCTTGAGATTGTCGCTGTTTCTAGAAGCAGCAACAAAGACCTAACCAGAACTAACACTGATGTGGGGGGGAGGGGGGACGGGGGGGAGGGAGCTAGCTTTGAAATACTGATTTTGTGGGTTTCTTTGATTTTTCCTTCTCCCCCCCCCCCCCCCCCGCCTTTGTACATGACCTACTGATTTTCGGTACAGTGTTTTTTGTAGCTAACTTATTTTGCCATGCACATAATGTATATTTGTTATGCACTACTTTTGTATATCTTGTTTTTCCAACAGTGAACATTTTTTAGGCCTACTTTTCACTGACGGGATATCTCCTTATGCAATACCTCAATTTTTCATATTGCAAAGAGTAGCTTTTTGTACTTTTTATTACGGAGAGATCTTCATATACTTCATTTTTTAATATAAATAATTTTAATAAATTTTATTTTCTTATATTCTGCTTTTTATACATTTCAGTGCTCTGCATACATTTTAAACAATGAATGTTACGCACTGGGAATGCTATTGTACAGTCTGCAGAGGAAGAGCATGCTTAAACCCAGCGGTGTACTGTCATTTAAGAAATAGTCTATATATACAGTCACAAATTAAGGGGGAATTTTTTTTTTTTTTTTCCGCATGAAAATGACAGAACACTGTAGTTCCGGACACAAAACACAAAACAAAAAATTAAAAAAAAAAAAAAAAAAGTATAAACCTAGGGTAGAAATTTAAAATGACAAAATTGTCTTACAGCATCTTAGTAAGTTGTTTTTTTTTTTTTTCCCAAATAAAAGATTCCTAAAATGCAGACATTTTTGGGGGGGAGGGTGGTGGTGGTAAAAGTTGAGACATATTTTTTTTTTTTTAATCTTAATAAACTTGATGGTAAGTGTTGGATTCCAAGATGTCTGCTCTTTGAAATGATCTCTTTAAAATTTTAAAAACAAAACTAGCCTGCCGTGAGACAGGTGTGTAATGTTCGTGTGCATGACTAATGTAAGAAACTGTTAATTCTACTAATACTTAGCTCGCGATTGTGTGTGTGACAAGCGTGTTTACAGACGATTTGGTTCTTGCGTGGCTTCTTCGAGGTCCTGCACGGTGATCAGCTAGGCCTCTGCGCTTTCTCCCCTGACATGGTCCTCCGGATGACATGGGACCCCACTTCGTGGGGGGAGGGGGCCTTCCCATGTCAAGGCAAACACCATCCACATGTCCTTAGTTTCCAGTTTTTAGGGCGTCCCTTCCATTCACGTAGCATGTGCTATCTCGCATGGCAGAAGCTGTGTACTCACAGCGTAGTTACAGAGTATGATGACATGGTTATTTTTGCAATGTAAAAATAAAGTGTTTCCGATTTATTTTCTATGTAAATGAGTCCCCTCCCCCCCACCCCCCCCCACCCTTCCCTCCCCCTCCTACCCTGATCCTGTCCCTTCCCTCTCCCCAGCTTTTGGTATAAAAAAAAAAATCTCCATACACAGATCTCTGCAGAATGCAAACAGAAAAACAAAAACAACAACAACAACAAAAAACTAAAAAAAAACAAAAAACAAAAAAAACTCAAAAACAAACTTGCAGCAAGTCGACTTTAGCATTTGCTAAGAATGCTGTTGGAAAAACTTGATAATTCACCCCTTTTGTTTTTGAAGAGTCGCTGTCTTCTGTTCAAAGGCGATTGAAAACTTGAATGTGGCGCGTTGTGGCAAGTTAAACTTCAAGTTCTGTGCAATACTTATTTCAGACTTTTTGAAAGATCTTTGCAGTGTAATTCTTTGTTTTTAATTGCAGACATTTGAAAAATGTCGTTTTCTACTGTTAGGAGTAAATCCTCTTTCTTGTTGGCGTTTCTAAAGAAAAGAATCAGAAATCAATCTTTCTACTAATGTAAATTTGAGATTATTTTTAAAAAAAAAACAACAAAGGAATAAAAGAGGTTTTGGTCATTTGCTTTATTTTATTATCTTCTTTTAAAGCTACTGTGATTGATAGCATTGTAAGAATTGGGGCAATATTGTATCCAACTGTTTTATTTTTTATATTTTTAAAATTTAAAGTATAATTAGTTTTTATAATTTTCATCAGATTTTTGTTATATTTTTTGGAAGTGAAACCTTTAGGAAGTGGGTGTCTAGTTTTTACTAATCCCTAATTTCCCCCCTACCCCCGAAGCGTATGGCTCATATTATCAGAAGGAAAAGTTATTTAAGTATGTCAGTTAACTCTACTACTTCGCCGGAGTTCCATATAGTTTTTATTGTGTATGGGGAGGTTGTAGTATTTATTATAGCATTTTAAATAAGGATAATTCATTTTTTTATTAAAGTCATTTTCACTTTAAGTTCCTATTTTTGTATGTTCTACTCTTAAGTTATATAACACAGTTCCTTTTTTAAAAGAGTTCATTTGTTGAAGTGCTAGTGGAAAAAAAAATTAATGTTATTAAATAGTTTGCAAATGACTATTTATACCAGTATGCATATAATTTTTAAATATTTGTAATGTGAGATGTTGAATGAATAAAACTTTTAACTCAGAGTTCTCTTGATATACTTCTTTCAGGCTTAATACAAGTAGAGTCTGCTTCTGTGGTTGTGGGTGGGACATTAAAAAAAAAAAATTAGAGCCAGTGTCAGTCGCTCATGCCTGTAATCCCAGCTATTCAGGAAGCCGAGATTGGAGGATCAGGGTTTGAAGCAAGCTGGAACCCTGAGACTCTTTATCTCCAAGCAACTACTCAAAAAAGCTGAAGTGGCAGAACTCTAGCTCTGAGCAGAAACAAACAAACAAAACCACCTCAGGGGAAAATGCCCAGGTTCTGAGTTCAAACCCCGGGCCAAAAAACCCCCCCAAACCCAAAAAACATACAAGCCCTGTTACACCTTCTCTAGCAACCACCAGAATGTGCGTTCATGGTTCAGAAAGAATGGAGTGCATTTGGTTTACATCCTCCACAGTTTCTGTAGGTGTTGTGGGCTGTTCTCAGCACTTTGAGGGGGTGGGGAAGGACATGAATAAATGTTCTTTTAGCAAACAGTACTTTAGGCCAATGAAATATGAACCACAAACGACCGCATCTGTCTTGACATGAGCACATTGAAGATCCTCTCTGCAGTCATCTGCCCCTCCTCTAAAAACCAAAAAGAGGTTGAAGGCATAGCTCAGTTGGGTAAGAGTGCCAGTGAATGAACTAAAGGTCAGGTCCTGAGTTGAAGTCTCATTGTTGCAACAATAAAGAAAAGAAC